TCAACGCTCCGGGAAACTTGGAAGAAACACCGGGTACCTAGCGAACTAGGTCCGTCAAGTTTGACAGCAGCGTCAAAGGCTAAAAAGCTAGTGAAAAGCTGGGGCAAGGGAAAATGGAACCGGAGGGGCGCGGGCGAGGATGACAGCGAGACCAGTGCTTCTGGAAGACTGGGACTGCCAAATTGGAACTGGAGCTGGGAAGAACGCGTAAAGTTGCGGTCTGGGAAGTTTACCGATGGGTCAGCGCGATCGTGATGGGCAATAGAGGGGCATTGTACACTCCATAGCACACGCACCTACACGGTACACGGTACGAGCACGCGAGGAGTGGTGGCTGGATGCAAGTTTGGAAGTTGCAACGCGGTCCTGCATGAGATTGACGGGGAGAGAAGAAGATTAGAGACGGTCAAACAGGCACTGGGCCATTTGGCACATGGGATATGGAACTTGGGAGAGCAGCTGGTTGGTGGTGGGCTGCGGTGAATCGTGATGCATGGCAGATGGAGCTGCAAGCAAGCAAAGACGGCAAGCAAGCAGCAGCTGTAGGTCTAGAAAGTATCAGGCCCTGCGACTGGACGATTCGTAATGGTGGGTGAATTTCCCAGCCATAGCCAACCCTCCAAGTTGAGGCCTTCCACATCCACACCCGCTGGGGAGGGATCCATTGACTTTGTACTTTGTAGTTTCCCCCGATGGAGGCACTGCAGAGCGATGGGCTTGCCCTTCACAGAGAGAGAGAGAGAGAGAGACAGAGACATCCACTGCGGTACCCTCGTTCTGCATGTTCCGGTGTCTGGGCTGCAGGGGTGACAGACCGATGTACTCCATACATGACCTCACGCTGAAGAATGGGCAAACAGAGGCTGGAAACAAAGTATCCAGACTCTGGAGGGCCGGAGCTTCAAAAGTGGACAGCATCTGTACCGTACCGGGCCTCTCCTGCTGATTCCTCTCCCCTGGACAGTTGGACTCGGGTGGGCCGGGCACAACTCGGAACCAGAGCCTCTGCTTCGTACTGCGGTGCTTGAAAGTTGAGACTTGACTTTGTCGGACCGTTGTTTGTTGGGTACGGAGTACGGAGTAGAGGCTTGAGATTCCATGCCAGCTTCAGGCTTCAGGCGATATTGAAACTGGGTACAACGGGTACTTGGCGGGCGAGCATCATTATTATGGAGACGGCTTGAACCTTGCCGCGAGGTACCTTGCCTTACATCAGCACATCAGCACTTGAACTTTTCAGACCGCATGGCTGTGTGAGTGCACTGATGAAGCCGGGTAGGGAAAATTTTTGAAAATTTGTGGGCAGCATGGCAGGTTGTGGTTGTGTGTGGCCGAACCTCGCACCCCCGGGGTCCACTATTAAGGTACCAAAAAGAACCTGGAAGACAGACGAAACCTGAACCCTCCTCCGGGACCTCCACGCCGTCGCAATAAAAAACAAGTCCCCCCCCCCCCGCCACACACTTACCTCACGGAACACCAACTCAAAGGTTCATCGTCAACCCGCAACACGCAACAGCTCCCGCTACTCGCAACATTGCAATTGTTATTCAGATACAGCTGCCTGGACCTTTTGGTTTCGACCCTTTCGTCCGGTATCCTTTGCCTCTTGGTAAGTCAACTCCCGACTGTTTTAAACGGAACCACACGCTGGTGGCGCATCCTCCTGAGCAATCACATGGCATCGTCATCGCCAGCTTTTGCACCGCCAGCTTTTTTGTAACCTACACGCATTTGGCCCAAACCACCACGAAAAAATAAAATCGCTCTCACAACAAACCACTTGTTTCCTTTTCCCCCTTTCAGCATCACAACCACAACGCCCGCATATCGCATAAACCGCTCATACAAGGAATCCTGTGCTAACCCATTGTCTCTACTTTGGTAGATCTTGATAAAGATCGATCCCCCCCCCTTTCACCGCCAGACTTAGCCTTTGGTCAACTCAAAGGCACCACAGCCCAACACGGCTTCCCTGGCCGTGAGCTTCGTCAGTGACCAAGATTTCAGCGTACGAAAGACTCGACACATTGTCAACGCCATCCCCCCTCCACCGCCTGCAGTCGTCTAAGCAGAAGCTCGAGTTCCTTCTTCTCGACGGTTTGCTTCACCAAACGCCCCCGTCCAACCCCACCCCCAACCAGCTGCCGCATAAGACGGGCTCTGCAGCTCTTCCTCTCGCCGAGGGGGAGTCGAGAAGACCTCGTCAGATCACTGAGGGATCTGTCTGCTACCGCTTTCGACCACCCTAGAACTCTCGTGTTGTTCTAGCTTTTTTCCATCCATCAACCCACTAGGGACAGACAGCATCAAGACAACTTGCTTCTGCCCACGCGTCGAAACACCAGACCGACCACCAACCCACAAATCTCCATCTCTTCAAACCACCACCCCGTCAACCGCTTGGATATGGTTATGGCAACAGCCGCGATCGAGCACTTTGCACCAGCTACTATCAATTATGCTAGTACCTACCATCAACCGATCCTCAAAACATCGCACTTTGCCAATCACCACGTCAAACATGGCGTGATCAACCCCAAGCAGCTGATTGGCGATGCTCTCCGCCAGCGTGTCGAGAGCATCGACCATGAGATTTGTGAACCAGGCGACGAAGACACCTTCTTCGTCGGTGATCTCGGCGAGGTCTACCGCCAGCACATGCGCTGGAAGCTCAACCTGCCGCGCGTCAAGCCCTTTTATGGTGAGTTTCCCAAGACACGACACCTTATAACTCCTCACTAACATGCCCAGCCGTCAAGTGCAACCCGGACCCCAAGGTCCTGCAGCTCCTCGCTGCCCTCGGCACCGGCTTCGACTGCGCCTCCAAGACGGAGATTGATCAGGTCCTCGACATGGGCACCGCCCCCGAGCGCATCATCTACGCCCAGCCCTGCAAGACCAACTCGTACGTCCGCCACGTCAAGGCCATGGGCGTCAAGCAAATGACCTTCGACAACGCCGACGAGCTCCGCAAGATCGCCAAGCTCTTCCCCGAGGCCGAGCTGTACCTCCGCATCATGACCGACGACGAGTCGAGCCTGTGCCGCCTGAGCATGAAGTTCGGCGCCGCAAAGGAGGCCACCAACGAGCTCCTCGGCGTCGCAAAGGACCTCGGCCTCAACGTCGTCGGCGTCAGCTTCCACGTCGGCTCGGGCGCCTCCGACCCCATGGCCTTTTACAAGGCCGTCTACGACGCCTACGAGGTCTTTGAGCAGGCCCGCGCCTACGGCTTCGAGATGAAGACGCTCGACATCGGCGGCGGCTTCTGCGGCGACACCTTTGAGGACATGGCCGCCGTCCTCCGCGGCGCCCTCGACGAGTACTTCCCCGCCAGCAGCAACGTCAACATCATTGCCGAGCCGGGCCGCTACTACGTCTCGGCCGCCTTCACCATTGCCTGCAACATCATTGCCCGCCGCACCGTCGACGACCCCAACCTCGGCGAGAAGCGCTACATGGTCTACGTCAACGACGGCCTGTACGGCAACTTCTCCAGCATCATGTTTGACCACCAGCACCCCGTCGCCAAGGTCCTCCGCACCGGGTCCCTCACCATGTACGACACCAGCGCCGCCAACGCCTGCCCGGACGGCGAGGGTATCCGCTACTCCGTCTGGGGCCCCACCTGCGACGGCATCGACCGCATCACCGAGACCATCTCGTTCGAGCACGAGCTCGACGTCGGCGACTGGCTCTACTTTGAGGACATGGGCGCCTACACAAAGTGCTCCGCCACCAAGTTCAACGGCTTCCCCGACTCGCACGACGTTCTGTACGTCTGCAGCGAGCCTGGCGCCAAAGCCCTGCTCAACATGTGAGCCTTGTGTGGTGCATCTTTAAGACTTTGTCGTCTACTTCATTTTGGAATTTCGAGACTGGGACGTTTGGAAAAGGGGTTAAGAAAAAGGAAACAAAAAAAATGAATAGACTTGGAGGGAGAAAAAGAACTCCGGCCCAACAGCACGCATTGTAGAAATGTAGTCATTCACTTCAGAGGTTGCCGTCAGAGGTAGTCCTCGTCTTCAGCTTGATCGAAAACATGATTGGAAATAATACAGTATTCAAGGGCCAAATCCACTGCAAGCTATCCGTCACTGTGCCATGTGTGTAACCCGTATATATGTTATCCGAGTTGAGGAACATCGTCGTGACCGGCAACACAATCCGAAACCCCCTGACTCGTTCCGCCACTCACGCAGGTAGCACTCGTGTAGCGGCATGCAACCTCGACGTCCAGGACGAAGGATCGAGAGGGGGGGGGTTCACTTTCATGCAAGGTACGGAAACACCACTGCCACTCGTGCTCGCACCTCAGCCGCAGGCTGCAGCAGTGATGGGTTCTACATATGCATGAATGGGAAGAAAGAGGCGCGACCCCCAAATGTCTTGACCACACGTCACATTCTACACCCTCATCAATCAGACAATCTTGGATCAATCTTTTTCTTCTTCTTTTCTCATTACTGCTTTTAACTTAATCATATGTCCGTCGCCGGCTGAACCTCCCCCCTTCCCATCCCCCTTTCTTACTCGGTGGCCAGCACACGCTACGCAACGAATCCGCATCAAAAAAAGGGGGCATGCATGCATCACCACCACCATCGACCACCATCGTTGCCCGCCCCTTTTCTCTCCGCCTTTGCTTACGTCGTCGTATCTGTGATTGAGCCATTGATAAGTGCCATGGAAACTCCCCAAAAGGCTCCTCTTGCTCTCTCTCTGTCTCTCTGTCTAGGCTGCGCCATTAAATGCCCCCCCCCCCAAAAAAAAAAAAAAAGTCGTGGGACGCTTTCAAGAGTTAGGTTTTTTGTTGTTTTGCAATCATGCATTCCGTCTGCTTCCCCCCCCTTTCGTGATTCCCTTTTTTCCGGCCTCCAGGCCAAATTCGTTACGTTAAGATATGATCCTCTAAACCCCCCGCCAACCTATCCATCATGAACCCTTGTGCTTCATCCGACTTCATGCTGATCCCGTCATCTAAATTCACCCCCCTTTGGCCGAGAGTAGTCATCTGTACGTTTGTATGCGTGGTCCGCTGGCGTTTCTCTTCTATAAGTTTATGCGGCCGCTTCAGGATGGATGATGCTCCGCGCCGTGGCTTCGTCATAACCAATGACATTTGTCAGGTATGCCATCCTAGACCTAGTCAGTACGTCGTCTCATCCCGCAGCTTCTGGAAACTCACTTGTCATTGTCGACCTCGGTCCATTTGAGGTCCTCAAATCTCTGCTGGCAGTCCATCCACGCCATTGCCCGCGCCTTGGGCTGAATCTTCTTGACCGTAAACTTAAACCTGCCCGTGACGGGTCGATGATCGGAGACGCGCACTTCGTGTCGTTTGTAATCCACCTGCTTGATCCTGCCGCCGCCGCGGTAGAGCAGCCGGTCGCACCACGCCGGCGAGCGCTTCTTCTCGCTCGTGTCGTAGTTATCCGTGCCAACGTCGTACTTGTACGTCGGCGCAAAGGTGATGGGCATTTCTTCAAACGCACGCAGCTTAAAGGCAGGGTTGCGCCGTCTGGCCACCAAAAGTTGGTCTCGCTCGAGAAGCTTGGCGAGATTGTTCTGCTTCACTGCGATGACGACCGTGTCGCGCGACATGGTGTCGATGCGGTAGTTCAGGTCGCCGTTGAGCAGACACAGCTCGTGGTCCAAGATCATGGTGCCGTCTCCGCCGCCGACATAGCTATCGAGGCGAGCGCTAGGGTCTCGCTCCGGCGGTAGGATTTGTGCTTCGAGAATCGCGGCAATGTCGTTGTGGCGACTGTTGGCCTGCGACTGACCCGCTGCCAAGTGACAGTTAATGAAGCACATTGACGTGTCGTCCACCATAAACCGCACCACGATTGCGCCCTTGTTGCCGTGAAGGCCTCCCATGCCTCGCTTAACTTCTGCTGCACTCAGATTCTGGATCCGATCTCTAAGCGTCGACTTGACAAAAATGCAAGTGAACAACCCAACCAGCGTGGCAGTGTGGAGCAGGTGATACAGACAGTCCGGGGGCATGTAGTCGTCGAGGCTCTTGAGGAGGAAGTCTCTCCAGTCGCGATACTGATGGCTCATGCGCTCCTGGTCCGAGCCCTCCTTCTTCTTCACCTTGAGGAAGCGTTCTCCTATTGTTAGCTTGGTTTTCAGTGGGGAAACGGGAAACTTACTAGCTGTCGCCGTCTTATCTTCCAAGTCCACCAGCTCCTGGAAACCAAAGATCAAAATGTCTGGCGAACTGTTGGACGTGAGCAGGCTCTTGATGAACTCGGCATCTTCTTGTGCGTATCGCAGACTGTGAGGCGTTGAAGCACCCGCGTTCCACGTCATGCACAGCACCTTGAGATCTTGGAACTCGCAGTACTGCGTGTCCATGGCCTTCATCTCCGCCTCGTGCCAGTCATCCTGCAGCAGGCCGTCCCAAACGCGGACCATATTGTCGGCGCCAAGAGAGATGACCTGGTGGCGATCCAGCCTGTAACAACTCGATACGTCCGAGACGAGCTTCACGACGGGGTTCTTTTCGTGAGCCTGCCAATCCTTCTTCTGTGCCCATGGCGTGGGCTCCATGTCATAGACACCAATCTTGCCAGTATTGAAGCCTGCCCAGAGGTGATCGCCAACACCCGCGAGGGAGTTGATCTTCCACGAACTCAAGTTGACAAGGCCCAGACATGAAAAGTCCTGGGTGTTGTAAATGGACACCTTGCCATCGGCGTGACCGAAGAAGACTTTGTTCGGTTGTGACCGCACTTGGGTTCCCGAAGTCACCTCGCCCGCCGTGTCCTGAGCCAGAGCGCGGACCAGCACTTGGAATTGGGTTTGTCCGTCTGACGATGGGGCAAAGACACGGATCTCTTTGCCCGTCGCGTGCCATAGCTCGTCCCCAACAACCATGGAGAACGAATGGCCCTTGGGCAGACGGAAGGCTTGATGGGCGTTGTTGGTCAGATCTGGCGTCCCAGTCTCTTCGTCCGGGGCCCAGACGAGTAAGCCGCCATTCTCATCCAACGACCACATCTCGTTGAAGTGGCGGTAAATCTTGACAACCTCGTGACGGCTGTGAGCTCCTGGCTTGTTCGCAACCACGCTTTGCGTCGCAATGTCAGCTTCCATCAGCTCGCCAAAGTTGTTTCCAATCCACAGTCTCTTTCCTTCCTCGTCCACATTCAAGCCGGGCTTAAAGGCCACAGCCGTGGCCTTGATACCTTCGCCGTGGGCAAAACTCATCAACAACTCGCCATCCCGCAGGTTCCACACTCGTGTCAGATGGCCAGTCGTGCAGATGAGATCGCCGCACACGTCGAACGTCCGCGGGTCGTATTTGGTCTGGATTTCGTGCATGCCATGTTTTATGTAGGGCGGTCGTCGGTTGACGTTTGCGGGGTCCGGGAAGTTTGGTATGTTGCCGTTGATCTCGACCTTTGACGTGTTGCTGGAGGGAATCAGAGACACAGTCGGCTCGGGCGGTGGTGGTGGTTGCGCAGGCTGTACGTGGACGGGCTGAACGGGCTGAACGTGCTGAACGTGCTGGACAGGCTGAGGTGGTTGAGGAGGCGGCGGACGCGGTGACGTTCGGTCCGTCACCGTATTCGCGCGCCCCGGTAGTCGTGATGGGGGCGGAAGATGCGTTGTTGTCGGGGTCGAGACGATCCGCTTGGGCGGTGGCTGGAAGTCGACGGAATGGCTGACGGAGTGGCTGACGACATGGGTGTTGACGCCTGCCCTCGGAGGCCGCGGAGGCGGTTTCATCGTCACGGGCGGCCGCGGAGGGGGCTCCGCAACGGTCTGCGGCCTCGCGGGAAGAGCGGGTACACTGGGCCGGTCACCCGTAATCTGCGGCGTGATCTGACCCTTGATGAACCCATTCGTATCCTGCTCCCTCTGGTTCCTCTTCGTCATGATCGAATGATGAACGGGAGGCGGTGCGAATCCGACATCTAGGGGTCTACCTCTCTGGGGTGGTGGTGGTTCCGTCTGCGTTGCGAGCGCCTTTGGCCTGGTGGGGAGTGTTGGAGGGGCCGGTTCGTGAACACTGTCGGGGCTCCCAGGCGGGCTACTAAAGGGAGACGTCTCTTCCCTGAGCTTGCCCCTGATATCAACAGCCCCAATTTGATGGTCTGCGTAGTAGGGAGCCTTTGGCTGGTCTCGCATCGACGGCTTTTCGGCACGGTTGATGGGCGGGGGCACGGCGGGCTTGTTGTCCCGTCGTATCTCGCCAGATCGTCTTGGGGGTGGTGGTGAAGGCGGCTGTGAAGCAGACAGTCTCGGTGAACGTCGCGGATCGAGCGAAGGGGTGTGCGGCCGACTTGGGATCTTGAAGGCTCGCGAAGTGGTTGGCGTAGTGGGGGTGGAAGAGCCGGAGTCGGCAGCGTTTAGGAAGGCCGGCGCCTCGGCGATGGAGAACCTCGAGATTGAGTTCTTGGGCGGTGACTGGGGCGGTTCTACCAGGACCGAAGGAGCTTTCACCGGCTCGGGTTTCAAGGTAGGAGGAACACCCAGGGAGCGGCCGGGGGAGCGAGGTACGGGCTCGTGCAGAGGAGGCGGGAGTGACGGTGCCGAGATGCTCGCGCGCTCACGGGGTCTCGGAGGGATCGGGAGGCTTTCGGAGGAGGCTTTCGCATCTCGAAGGAACTCTGGCTTCGGGGCCGGAGAGATTGTTCGGGGCGGGGAGGGACCAGGCGCGGCGGCAGATTCGCCATTCTTGTTCATGTTCTCGAACTTCGCCCTCAGCGACGAGACGGGTTTCTGGGGGTCTGGTCAGCGTGGCAGCATGGCGGGGGGACGCGGGCAGCGTACAAGTGATGAGCCATCAGGCCCATTCTGAGCGGGAGGAGCCATGGTTGTAGCAGAAACGACAGCGGGAGCCCAGGGTGCCGATACCCATTACACCCACGCCTACAAGTGTATCCTCATGAGCCCTTCAGCGGCGTGTGGTCTGTCGGCGGCTTAGCCAAGCAGAATGTATTGGTGGTTATGGATTGACGAGGTCGTCGAGTGTCGCAAGAATGCGTAAGCGGGCGTGAGAGCGAGAGTTTGTTGCGCGCCTGTGGTCGGAGAGATTCTGACAAGTGGGATGGACGGCCGTGCAAGAGGGCTGAGGAGCATAATGATGCTGGGCGGATGTTTCGAAGCTAGTGAGATGCGAATGGGAGCATGGCCAGGTTAAGGCAGCGGTCGTCACGATGGGCGCGTTGGAGGTGAGAGGGAAAGTTGAGCTTCGGGTGTTTTTCTGGAGCGGTGGTGGCAGTAAGGTACGGGAAGTTGTGATTGACAACGAAGTGGCATTGCAATGGCCCCTTGGAGCAATAAGATTCCCAGCCGTAGCCCGTACGGAGTAAGGTACTGCGTCGCCGTTTTGCTGGGACGGCAGTGTGTGGATGGTGTACCTGATTCGCCGGTACCTGGGTTGGCTGCCAGTCTGGGGGGTGAATGGAAGTACCGTTCTCCGAGATGAGGCAGGGCAGGTGGGCAGGCACGGCAGGGAAGGGGAGGGGAGGGAAAAGGGAAACGTATGCTAGGCACGTAGGCCGCAGTAGTGCTTTGCGGCGCCGTGCACACAGCACCTGAACAGAACAAGCGTGAGATGAGGGTGAAGTGGTGGGTGGTAACCGACACTGACAGACTCCAACCCAAGTCACTTCACCAAAGAGTGCCAAGGTACTCCGTAGACAGAGGGGGAGGGGGTAGCGGTACGTGGTGGGATGTACGTAAGGTTTGAGGGGACTCGCCATCCAAACACTGCTGTCAATTACGACTTGCGCTGCGACGTGCCGTCGTGCCTGTCCCGCCGCAGCATTATGGCCCGTCTGGGTTTAGCAGTCCCCGTAATGACATATGACCCTGCCAAGACCCAAGTAAGTGTCTCCATCTCTGCCAGCCTCACCAGTTGGGCCCAGGGTTGAGAGCCCAAGAGGAGACTCAAAAAGTGAAGATACGGATTACGGAGGCCCTCAGCCACAAGTGGAGGAAAGGCACTTTGTCGCATGTACCTCGCGGCTGGGGATACAAGGGCCGCCGCCGTTGGCCTTGGTTCCTGAGGAACTTCAAGGTTGGACACTAGTCGTTCCGTAATTAGGCGAATCCACAGCCTGATCTGCCGCTGGACACCCCCTGTGAAATACGTCCCTCGCAGGCGTGGCAGGCACGCACAGCACGGCGGTCGTTGAGTCCGGCGCACCTGTCCCGTGCTGGGGTCTGGGACTACGTACCTGCTTACCTCAGCTTGAAGCCGTGAGCCGACGAAGCTAGTACCTTGGGTTGAAGGATCTCTGCTGTCCCTCGACCTTGGACTACAGAATGTAGATGGGAAAGTTTCAACCATAACCACAGGATCCACGGCACGGCCTAGGTCTCTATCATCTTTTCTGTCGCATTCCCAGCATTGCCATATCATTAACTCGGTCCAAGATATTCTGTCGAGTGTCTCTGTCTGGTCAGTGTCAGCGACCGTCGCTAACCTCTTTCATCTTTCGGGGTCCACAGCTCGCGTGCACGGTGCAGAAGGCCAAGCAAATCGGGGATTCTCAAGCTCCATCATCAGACCATCCCACTTTCTACAGTGCGTCCTCATTGCTCAGTGGCAGCTTGCGCTCCGATCGACCGGGTTCACATCGTCCTTGAGCCAGCTACCTTACCATACCCGACAGGGCTACTTTTTTTTCCCTTTCTTTCCTTTGAAGTCTTGTTCAGACCAAACAACACAACTCTCGACTGCTACAAACCCATCTGTCCAAATCCACAAACCCTCACATCCCACCGCAAACATGAACACTGTAAGTTCCTCCTCGGCCGTCGCACATGGTTTCAAGTTCTTGGCTGACATCAAGCCTAATCCTAGGTCAAATCATTCTGGTAGGCTTGACTCGTCGTCTCTCGTTCGCAAACCGCCCTCGTCGTCGATCAACACCACTGACACCCTTTCGTCTCGCAGGCTTGGATGGGGCTCTCTCTGCGCAGGTACGTCGTCACCTGAGCTTTTTGACTCTTGTCCAGAACCGCAGCTAACGTGTCGCGGTGACAGCCGGCGGAGCTGCCTACTACTTTGCCAAGCAGAGCATCAACGCCGATCGTGCAGCCCGCTTCGAGGAGCAGCGCCAGAAGAAGATGATGGTCCAGTCTCTTGAGTACGGCGACAACGTTCCCTCCCAGCCCGGCTCCGCGTCCGCCATGGCCGGAGCTGCGCGCACCGACACCGCCGGCTCCCCCAGCCAGGAGTCCAGCTCCGATCCAGCACCGACCCGCCACGCCCCGGCGACCGAAGCGCAGAGAGTGACGGAGAAGAGCAAATACGAAAGTAGTACGCCGTTCAGGAGTACAAAGGGAGATCGATTCTCATAGGCACAGGAACGAGGCGGTGGATGGACCTCGACCGGTCCCGAGCTCGTGTAGTATAATTGTTTGCTCGGCTGGTTTTGGCTGTACATTGTATCATTGAGGACGACACGAAGAAACGATGCCCTATTTCTCGCGTTTGAACTTGTCGGGATGCTTCGCGTTGGTGATTTGGAAAAGCAGTGTCTAATGTCTAGAGTGTGCGAGGCAGATTGTCAATGATTCATTACATCGACATCTCGGTTTTTTAATCTCAACACGCCCCTCGACGGCGACAGAAGAACACTCCAATCACTCAACGGACCCCTCAATCACCCGCCTACGATTGGTCGTTCTGCATCGGCGAGGTGTGCGCAATTGCCTCAACCACCAACACCTGAACCCCGTTGGCTTCACGCAGGAGGTGGCCGATCGGCGCAAACCGCTAGGACACGAGCCACTGTTCGCACTGGGCAGATGGGTCCTTCCGGAAGATGCCGCAGAACCCCCGATTCTGAACAGACATCCAGCCTCAATCCGAGCTAAGCCACTTTGACCGTAAGCACCCAGCTGTCGCGGCCGTTGTAGCTTGTGGCTTTTTTGTTCCCCCCAGCTCTAGCTTCGACCTCGACATCCCACTTCAACCTCACCTGCTACTTTTCGCCTGCTCTCCCAGATACAATCCCAACCAGCAGGCATGCAAGCGGGTCACAATGGCGAACCCTGAGCTAGCAATAGCCAAGGCCTCCTTGAGCGCCATCCTCTTCCGCAAAGAGCCCGTCTCGCTCACCAGGCCCGAGATCGAGAGCTTCCACACCCTCCTCCACGACGCGATACACCAGTGCTCGCCCGCCAACGTTCAGGTTTGACGCCCTCCAACGGCCTCTACTATTGCCGCTGTCCTTTTTCTATCCACCTTTTTCATCTGCCATGTGCGCTCCTCTGTGTGGTTGCAGGTCGACTAAACTCCCGCCGCCTCTCTCTAGAAATGCAAGCGTTGGATCCTCAAGAACTTGGTCCCCTCGCCGGCGCGCGTCACCGCCGTCGGCAAATACCTGGCCGCACTCTCCAACTCCTTTCCCGATGACGGCAAGACGAAGCCCTCCACGCGGAGGAAGCGTCTGCACATCCTTTACGTCATCAACGACGTCCTCTACCACGTCGCCGTGCGCGATCGGGACACACGCTTCGCGACAGCCCTGGAAGCCAGCCTGACGCCCCTCCTCCACGGCGCCGCTAAGTTCCCAAACTGCCTCAAACACGCGAAGAAGCTCGAGAATCTGCTGGCGCTGTGGGAGATGCAAAAGTACTTTTCCGCGACCGTCATCGATGACCTTCGCGAGACTGTCAAAGAAGCCCCCCACGGCGGCAAGGTGTCAAAGGGAGGAGAACAGGGCCAGACGGGGTCGAATCTCGGCGCGAGGCCCGCCAAAGATGCGCCCTACACGATCCCCTCGATCCACGGCGATCCCAACACTCCTTGGTTCGATCTCCCAGCAGCGAATTGGCTGCCGCATCTTACGCCCAACTCGACGAAGCCCATGAACCCAGATATGATCAAGCCGCTGCAGCTTGCCCCAGGACCGGCAGACAAGGTCCTCGCCAAGGCGGTCAAGGACTTGCTCGCGGACGTCGAAAGGCTCTACAACCCAGGCGCGCCCCTGCAGGACGATCAGCAGCAGCAGCAGCAGCAACACACCGACCTCAGCGAGATGGGCGAGCGCATCGTTCTCGACGAGATCACGGGCGAGGTCGTCGACGGGGAGACGTACTACGGATGGTCCCGCAGGTTCTGCGAGAAGATGAAGCAGCGAAGGAAGAAGACCAAAGGCGGGGCAGCAGACCGCGGCCGTGGACGATCCGACTCCAGGAGCCGTTCTCGGAGCTCCTCCCGAAGCCGATCCAGCAGAAGCGATTCCCCACCGGCCTTTAAACGACGCAGACTGTCGCCGGACTCGCGGACTCCCAGCCGCAGTCGGAGCCGTGACCGTCGACGCAGTCCTGGGCGAGGCAATCGCTACGACCCGAGAGACTATAGCAGGTCCAGATCCCGGTCAAGGTCAAGATCCAGGTCGAGATCGCGTCCTCGGTACAGATCAAGATCAACCTCGCGCAATCGTGGCCCAGCAAGAGATGGCGATAGGGATAGGGGCCGCGCCAATGCGAGCAAGTCCCCACTACCACCACCCGACCGCAACCGGCACCACAACCCTCCAGACTTTGGGGCAGGAGGCCACACCACCGGCTGGGGACAACCGCAACATCACCGTCTTCAGCCTCCGCCTCCGCCCCCTCCCCCAAGCTACAACCCCCCGCACCCTCAAGCCTTCCCGCCGTACCCCCCGCCACTGCCACAGGCGGCCGGCGGCTTCGGTCACTTCCCGCCGCCGCCGCCGCCGCAAGGCTACAATGGTCAATGGCCGCCGCCGCCTCCACCACCTCACCTCGGCGGTCCCCCTCCACAGCACGGCTGGGCTCCTCCGCCGCCGGGTCCAGGCGTCCCGCACATGGGTGGCGGGTGGGCGGCACCTCCGCCTCCACCGCAGCAGCAACAACAGCAGAACCCGTATCAACAGTACGGACGAGGCAATGGCGGAGGCTACCGTGGACGAGGAGGCAGGGGCGGGTGGTAATCAAGAAGACCAAGAGAGAAACCTGTAGATTAGCAAAAAGAATACACGCCATCAAACAGTCCAATAGCTACTGTCCCTCATGTCCTTCACGCGAGTAAAGCAACCAACGCTCTCTAGGTGCATTTTGCGTAAGCCGTTTTTGTTACCCAAGTCTAAAATTGTGGCGGAATCTTCGCCTGTACTCATTCATCGTCCAAGACAGAAATCAAGGGGGGTAGACCACCACCTCTCGGTTTCTCTCGCGAGTGTTTTTCATCCGCTCCCCGGCTCGGGTTGCAGTAAAGCTCACGCAGGAAACGAAAGGGGAAAGCCGTGTCTCCTCCCAAAAATCTCGCCCTTTGTACGCCAGTCCTATCGTTCTCAACGTCCGCCTGGTTGTGCTTCCCTTTCCTCTCCCCTTCTTCCCAGCACACCCAACACAATAACGTTTTTTTGTCGAACCCCCCTCACACCAAAATCTTTCACCCCAAAAACGGCGGGCGGGGAAACCACTCGATCTCGACTCGAGTCTGTATTCCACGCAAAAGAGAAAAAACAAAAGAAGTGACATCATGAAAATTAAGTATGTTCCCGGGGGCGGCGAGGCCCCATCCCTAGAGCACGGAAGCCTTTCTTTCCCTCCGCCTTGAGTCGTTTCCTGGGTGATCCTCTGAATCATTCCCTCCAGCATACAACTCATGCATGAGTTTCCCCTTTTAAAAAATTCCCCCAACCGGTTGAAGGCGTATCATTCAGTGATATCGGTCCCCGTCATGACTCCTCGTCCGCCTCGGCCTTTTCTTCGCCGTTCTCTTCCGCGTCCTAGATTTTGTCTTGTTAATCCATGGTTCAACAGGTAATGCTGCGTCACGAACAGAAAGCAGCGCAAAGGTAGGCCTAGCAGGGGCAAATGACACGAGTAAAATCATGCGTGGTTGTGGGCTGATCATACCGAGTCTTGTTGCTCTTGCCGACGATCCCTGCGATCTCCATCCTGCAGCTTAAGAGAATCTAGTCGCTTCTGGTTGTCCTCGGTGCCATCAACTTCGTCAACGCGGGAGAGGGATCCGGCGTGGGCTCTACCCGCAGTCGGTGCGCCGTTTGCCGATCGCCTTTGCTCAGCCTGGTCTGAAATTGAGGCCCATTTCCTCTCGCGCAAGGCTTCTCTGGCCGCGGCACTATTCTGCTGCTCGGTGTAGTCGTGAGAGCAATCGTCGAATAGTTGGGGGTTGATCTCCATAAACAGCTTCATGGCGTTGTATACCATGCCGTGAATGGTGCTGTGGATGGTTAGCGGGTTCCATGTCTATCGAGGGTGTGTAACTCACCGGTTCCAGTGGCCCTTTGAGTTTTCGTAAAGCGGCGCAAACATGATGGGCAGAATGATCTCAACATTGTCGCTGACCAGGTTGCAAAAGTACTCGTTGTTCCAGAAGTAGAGGGCTCGCTCTGCCACCTGGAAATGGGGGCTGGCGACAGACTTGGCGAGTTGGTGGAAAAGAGGCTCCTGAACCTTGGCAAATTCGGCGGGATCCATGACTTCGAAGATATCTTCGACCTCGTTAAGGAACATCACCTCTTTTGTGCTGTTGACCTTGGGCCAGTATCGCAAGAGGCCGAGCACAACCTAGACATGTTAGTTCAGTTCACGACGCAATGGCCGGGGGGCTCACCTCTTCCGTCAGTGACGCGTCCTTTTCGAGGAACTGGACAATGCAGTATGCCAGCTGAGGGTGGTACATGCTGAGACTCTTGACTTTGTGCAATGGTATCAACACCCTTGTCAAGAAGGTCTTGTGCTCCTCCTTCAGCGGCAAGGCAAAACCGTTGATAATGGATCCGAGTATCTCCAAAAGTTCGGCGATGCCGTTGAATCTTTCCGTCTCGTAGGTGAATTGGAAGAAAACATTGTTGATGGAGCGACGGATGAAGGACCGGAGGTTGAGGAATTTGCCGTAGATTCGGTGCAGGGTTGTCTTGAGAAAGTCCCTCTCGCGCGGGTCCTCGGAATCGAAAAGCTCCAGGAGCTGGAGGACGAAGCTGTGGTCAATGTAGGCTTTCGCAATATTGGTGTTGAAGTCCTGGCTCTCGATGAATCGGAGGAAGAACTCGTAAACGACCTGGATATGGGGCCATGCAACCTCCAGGACGGGCTCGTCTTCCTCGGGATCGAACGCTTCACCCTGGGGGTTCATCGGCGGGGGAATAGGTCGGAAGAGGTTCTTGGCGAACATTTCGACGACTCTGGGGTACATTGGTTCCGTAATGACTTGGCGGTTGTTAGCTACGTAGTCGAGCAGCTCGTGGAGCGCCAATCGCTTGATCTCCTTGGACTTCATGTCACCGCTAGCATCGTTAAAGTCAAAGATGACATTGCACTGATCAATCTTTTGCATAAACAGCTCCTGGCGGCGGTTAGGGGGCACCTCGTGGAAGCCGGGAAGCTTCTCGAGCTCACGGTGAGCAGAGATGTCGAATCTCGAAGAGTGCTGTCGCTTGGGTGTCCTCAGACCCTCAGGGACGTCCTTGGGGGTCTGGTGGAGGCGATCGAACATAAGCGACTTGGTGCCGGCCTTAGGGGGCGCGAGATCGTGCGGCATGGTCTCCGCTGCACCGGGAGGTGGGACATGCTGAGAGTGTCAGCGATCAGCAACATCAACAACAATATGACGATGTCTTACCGGAGCACTGGGGCTGATGATGACAGTGGGCGGCAAAGTTCCATGACGGCCTGGAGAACCTCCACCGTTAGCACCTTGGGCTGCACCCGCAGAGCTGAATCGGTCGGCACCTTGCTGGTTGCTCAATGGAGAGGGCTGGTTCGCGGTGCCGTGCTCTCCGCCGGCGTTGTTAGGAGGCAGGGGCTTGTTGCGGGCGTCGGCGAGGTTCGTGGTGGAGGACGAGGGTGTCGGGTTGGGTGACTGGGTGGCATCACGGCCTGAGCCAGCACCGCCGGGGGATGCGGTGCCATCTTTGGCGTCCTTATTCTTCTTAGGCTTATTGGGGTCTTTGCCGCGCGAGAGCTGAGCATGCTGGGTTGTCAATATCGTGTTCAACAGCGGGATTGGGCTTCAGGGGCCCGGGTATTGACGGAGAACTCACCACCCTCTGGCTGAAGCGCTTCATTGTGGACGTCACTGTAGTGTCCCTCTCCGTGAGGCGACAGACTCGCCGACTCGAAAGCTGCAACTAGAGACAGTAAACCGCAATGGACGTAGGTCCAACAATTCGGGATATGAAGGAGCGCAGGGCGAACGACGGTCGAGGTGCAGGTGGTGCTGCAGAGGGTAGTATCGGCCGGGTCGTCGAATGTGGGCAATCGATGCGGGCGGATTGGTAGACGGCCCGGATGGTGAGCTGCGCAGTGAATGAAAGGTTGATGCGTAGGCGCGGTGGGAGTCTAGGTGGTAGCGAGCGCGTCGGCAGATCGATGTCGACGTGATGATGAAAGGAGGGCGTGAGCGTCGCTGTCGCTGTCGCTGTCGCTATTGCTCGGCGAGGGCTGGGGTTGGGTTGTCAGGAAGGCGTCGCTTCTGGATGCGAAGAGCAGGGGGGAGCTAGAGTGTCGGATTGGCAGGTGAGTTGCGACAAGGGAACGACCCATCAAAAGTTGGCAGATGAAGGGAAGTTTTGAGCGATCGGGCAGCGAAAGGAAGAGAGCCAGACGCGAGAGGTTCTTGAGAAGGTAGATGGGGGGTGGAATCTCTGGATCGTCGGTAAAGCTGAAGTTGTTTGCGGGGCCCAGGTGTGAAGTGTGAGACGACGACGCGGGACCAGAAAGCCGACCTCCCCTAACGTGCTAGCGGCGGTGGAAATATTAAGGTAGAGAGCGAGAGACTGAGGTGCTGGTGGACAGCTGGAGACGGCCCAGTGATGCGCGGCAGCCAGCCAGGAACAGGCCTTGACACTGGGAGGGCTGTTCACGCGGGGGGGTAGGGTTGGAGTTGGAATCCGAGGGGATCGAAAGGGTTCAGATAAGGCAAATTTGACAGTTGTTCAATGACGGAATGGGTTTGGAAGAAGAAGAAGTGGTGTTGCGAATGCGCATTGGGACTCCAGAGAGAGAGACACGCCCTTCCCGTCTGCATCAGCAACCTAACTGGACAGACTTCAGCGTACAATCGCACCTAGCAGGAATTGGGTGGGAACCGCGAGTGGGTTTTGGGCTGTTGAACTGGCACACTGGCACACTGGCACACTGAGGATACAGTACAGTACAGTCGCTGCGAGGTCCACAAGTTACAACAGGGCAGGACAGCACGAAGCAGCAGCGGCAGGCGTGAAGGACCGCAGGTGCTATGCAGAACGGATGGGGTAAATGGACTTCGGTACCTCCCTACTGCGAATGATGGCAACTGCCACCGACTGCCTCAGACTGGTGGCTGTGCACGGATCCTTTTGGGATTAGGTAAGATAAGTCACCCTCGTCTGGTTGGACAGCTTGGAGTGGTGCCTCTTCACCTTTGACGAACTCTAATTGGCGGAGTGGGAGCTGGACCCTGGAGCTCAATTTCTCCTGACGGCCGTAGTGTTATTCCGGAGGATTTTTGACGGGTCCGGGTCGGGTCACTGCACCTCCTTGGCCCCCACAGACCATCTCCACACAAAGACATCACAATGCACAACAGAGCCAAAGGTCATGACAACACACTGCCAAGCCACGCACCCAAGGTGCCAAAGTGAAGAAAAAGGGTCCCATTTCGTTTGAGCCGTGTCATTCCACACCAGACACACACTGTGATAACATCACTCCTGCTACGCATCGGGATAATATTCGTACAGCATGTACTAAAAGCGCTGCAAGTCACCTGCTAGCCCTTGCAGGGACCTCTCCTTGGGACGCATCCCGCCATGTGGGCATCATCACATCACCATGGGGCCCAAGCTGCCTCAGAAACAACCGTCGCCCAGTTCCTCGGGAACAACTCTACAACTGATCAACATTGGACGAAAAAAGGGCAGCTGAGCCATCTGAAACGCGAATACGTCCGTCTCCATTCCTGTGAGACTCTACATCGCTGTAAATAGAGTTGATGGGGTTCTTGATGGGAGAATTGTCGCGTGTCTTTCACATCCTTATATGTGTCTGAGACGACATTCATCTGATATCTCTTTAGTGATGCCACATCAAACCTAGCAATATGCACTTCGTAAGCTTCGTGACAATTTTTTGTCCTTTTCCATCGCGCCTGCCATTGCGCGAGCTCTACAGTGCAGGGACTCCATGCCGCCCAGAGCACCCGCTAAAAATGCTGTGATCATTCGGGGCGGGCTACACTTCGCACCGTGCATCAATTCAACCTCAGTCGCTCACGACGGCATCAAAATTCCAGTGACAGCCACAGGGTGGCCAGAACGGCATTCGGCCTAGACTTTGTTCTCGCCAAGCGCTTCTCCTAAGACATCTTCCATTACACAGTCTTCCACGGCTTCCAAGTCGGAAGCAGCCAATCAATTGGCTCCGACTAATTAACCACCACCGAACCTCAGCCCAAATCTGTTGATGGACCCCAACATGCAAGCCGTCGCCATGGACACCCAGGACGAACCCGTTAATGATGAGACGGCGCAAGAAGGCGTCGCCGTGGATGCGGTCCCAAAAGAGACGCGCAGTGGCCCATCACCATACAGCAAAGACGGCAGCAACTCGGCACCCCGATTCTCGATTCCCAAGAGGACCATGGGCGCTGTCGAAATTCCCATGATTGTCATGAACCTGGATCGGACAGAAAAGGCGTTTGGCAACGTCTCGTCTTTTCAGAATGTGTGTGTCGCGGCGTCATCGAAGGGTGTCGGTCTGATGCTGACGCCATGTCCAGATCCTTGACAGTGAGCGCAACACAATCCCATTCTATCTCAACCCAGAGAGCCCTTTCCGCAGGCCCATCATGTCTCACAGCGCTACGAGCCACAATGTGGTCTTGAAGGTCACGGTTCCGAAGCGGACCGGCAGGAAAAGGAAGCGAGGGACGGACGGGCCGTGGGAAGGTGAAGTCGACATGCGGGATGTGCCCAGGGCCAGCCCGACAGCCGAGGCGATTTACTCCAGGTCGAGGCTGGACAATCCAAAGCTCTTGCGGCGGAAAATGCGAGACAACATCGACAGTTACGGTGTAGAAGCCGTCGGCGTCATCAAACACACCCACCGCTTCCGAGGTAAGGACATCCATATCGGCTCGTTCGCCCAGACTGACAAGAGACAGGCATGGCGGATTTCCACTGGGGCCTCGAGCAGTCTCCTTTTATTTCGAGGTTCATGAACCAGGTCATGCCTGGCGACAGTAAGTCGAGCTTCAGCGCTGGCCGAGCCGTATCTAACCATCCACAGTCAACAAGATGAGGGACTTCAAGTTCGTTGACGGCGTCGACAAGGGGCCAAACGTCGACATCGTGCCGCCGCCTGTGTGGACGCCAATGACGCTTCCCTTCATCTATAACTACTCCCAAAACCCATATGTCCGCACCGAGCTCGACCAGACAGGCCAGGCCCAGCTCATCAACACCCAGTTGCCCACTCTCATCGGCTACTTCCTCAAAGCAGACCAATATCCCATTCCGCCTGGCCCGCAAACCCCTTACGACGGCTCCGACGAGGAGGTCACCTACTGCATAGCCCGCATGCTGGAGGCGATGGAAGAGCGGCCCATCTGGACGCGCCGGTCCCTGATGAATAAGCTCGGGTCCGTCGTCCGCAACGCCAACGTCATGAAGCGCTGCGTCGGCTACGTCGGCTACCAATTCCGGGGCGGGCCCTGGCGCGATGCCATCATCAAGTACGGTGTCGACCCGCGCAACGATCCCTCCTTCCGAACGTACCAGACAATGATCTTCAACATGCGCAAGCTCCAGGCTGGACACATTGGCGAGACATGGCACGCTATCCGCAGCCTGCGCACCGAACAGCGCCAGCCCCAGGGCGACAACCATGAGTCCCACGTCTTTGACGGCAAGTCCTACTGGACCGACGGCAAGGTCTGGCAGATTTGCGACATTACGGATCCCCTGATTGCAAACATCTTTGCCACGGCGCCGCAGCGGCCCGAGGTCGACATCTACAACAGCGGCTGGTACCACCAGGGCACGTGGGCCAAGGTCAAGGGCATCATGAAGACCAAGATGATTGCGATCCAGTTTGGGCGCAAGCTCACGGACGACGACTTTGCCGGCATCTATGAGGTGCGCGACACGACGCCGCCGCCGGGTTCCTCGAGCGTCCACGTGCCGCTGCCCGACCTCGAGCTCACAGACGCCGAGAAGCGCGTGCTGTACGGCCGGCGGTTCAAGGAGCCAAAGAAGAAGCGCAAGGGCACCGCGTACCGCGTCACTAAGTCTAACGGGCCGCGGGGTGTCGCTGCCGCCGCCGCCGCGGGGCGCAAGGCTGCCGGTAAGGAGGATGAGCTCAGTGCGGAGGACAGTGAGGAGGACGACAGCGAGGAAGACATTGACTATGATGGCGACGCAGATTACGAACCCAAGAGGCGGGTCTTTGCACCCGTGCCTGGGCTTGATGAGGGTATGGAGGAGGAGGAGGAGGAGGGGCTGGAGGAGGGGCTGGAGGAGGAGTACGGTGACGAGGACGATGATGGAGAGGGCTACGGGTATGACGACGACGGTGAGAGGTATGATGAGTACGATGAGGGGCTCGTCGGAGAGCCAGTCGTCTATGGTGGTGCTCGTGAGCGGCGCGGCGTTCGGTTTGCAGACCAGCCTGGCGATACGGACGTGGATGCGGCGTATCCCTCGGAAGTCCTGCCTTGATGTGAATAGGAGTATGTCAATGTAAGTGATTGTAAGCCCTCGGCCCAGAGATGATCACAGTGGCTTAGGTTTGGTTCACAGTTGAGGCAGAGAAGTCCTGGCAACGGGTCATCCTGTATTATGCTGTTTACAAACTAGGCCGAATCCCCCATCTCGGATATATTCCCATGCCCATGTCTTATGCTACCGTATTCCGTTGAAGCACTCCCAGAAGCCTCAGATCGGGAGACAGAAAAAAAAAGAAAATTGCTAGGCCAAACCGACGCGGCAATGAAGACCGCACAAAACGTATATGTGAGAGACACCGCGAGAGAGATACCACGAGAGGGGGAGACAGAGAGAGAAAGACCCTCACTGCACCCTAAGCACCTTGGTCTTATTCTCCTTCTGCTGCCTCATCCCCTCCACCCACGCCGCCGTCTCCCGCAGCGCCCGCCGGGGATCCTTTTTCCGCTTCAGCAGGAATCCCTGGATCTCGGCCGGGCTGAAGAGGCCGTCGGGGATCAGGGCGCCAAACTCGTCGGCGATGCGGCTCAGCTCCTCGCCGTCGAAATCGTGGCGCTTCTTCTCGGCTGTTGTCGCCGCCGCCTCTGCCTGTGGTGACGACGACGACGACGACGACGAGGGGTTCTCTGTTGAAGGGGGGAACGAAGACTGCGTAGCCGAAGGAGTAGAAGACGCTGATGCGGACAACGGTGTGGCACTCGACGAAGAACCCGCACTCCCATTCCCGCTCCCATTCACGACAATACTCGGCTTGGGATTCGTAGGCGGCGCCACGTGCCCGTCAACCCTCTTGGCCGGACTCGCCCCGTCAGCCTCGTACATGCGCTGAAACAGCTCCGTCGCCTGCGCCGGCGTGGCGTTGGTGAAGCCGACCTGCAGATCCACCCGGCCGGGCCGGATGAGCGCCTCGTCTAGGGATTCGGGCTTGTTGGTCGTCATGACGAGGATGCGGCCTTCTTGGGAAGCGACGCCGTCGATGGCGTTGAGGAGCCCGGAGAGGGAGATGCCCTTTTTATCGTCTTTGGATTCTTTCTTCAGGGCGCGGGCGAGGTCCGAGACTTTCCAGTCGTCTTTGTTTGTCGCTGCCGAGGCCTTCTTGCTGTTCTCGTCCTTGGTGTTGTCCTTGCTGTTGCTCGATTTGTCGTCACTTTCTTTCGTGCCGTTGGGGCCCCCGGCAGCAGCAGCACCACCACCAGAGCCATCAGCCTCATCTTCGACACGCGCGAGACCCGCGGTATCAATATCCTCTAGCAGAACAACACACCGCCTCGGCAGCGAATTAAATAGCGTCCCCAGATCCTCCTCCGTCAACGTCGGCTCCAACAGCGAAATCACAAAGATATCGAGCCCAAACACGCCCGCAAGCGCAAACGACAAACTCGTCTTCCCCGTCCCTGGCGGGCCGTAAAACAAATACCCCCTCCGTAACGGAATCCCGCGGTTCGCGTACCACCGCGGCGTCGCGGGGTGCAAGTACTCATTCATGTCAGCCATGACCTGCGCTTTTTGCCGCGGATCCAGCACGACGGTGCGCATCGGCCGGACGGGCCGGTTGGCGACCTGGCTCCAGTTGTACCGTCCTCCGTAGCGGCGCATCGGCGCCGGGCTAGGCCGTTTGATGGTTGTACGGGCGTAGTGGTCCTGGTAGTAGAATTCTTTGACGAAGCGGAGGAGGTCCTTGATGGGCAACGGGTTGCGGCCGAAGCAGGAGACGATGAGGTCTTCTTCTTTGCGGAACGTGCCGTAGTTTGATTCGCCGTCAAAGACGGACTGTTGTTTGCGGTGGAGGCGGAAGTAGCGGTTCTTGTACCAGAAGCCGTGGACGCCGACGGCGGGAACGTATCGCGGGGGCTTGTGATTCAGTATTAGTTGCGTTCTTGTAAACGGACCTCGTATGAAATGTTGATGGGGCAGAAGGGGGGACTCACAGCTTTGGCTTCTTGATTCGAAAAGTTGAGAAACTCCGTCGCGCCGCTCCCGCTCCCGGCAATCGTCCTCGTCTGCAGCGCCTCGAGCTCCTCCTCCTCCTCCCACGCCGTCTTACTCACCGTCTCGGCCGTCAGCGAGCGGGAACTCGCCATCAGCGGCTGCAGCGCCAACCACTTCATCATGTGCGTGTAAATCTCGTCCGTGCTCGAGATGTGGATGGAGCTCATGAAATTGTCCTGGATGAGACGGAAGATGGCGCCGTAGGCCTGGCGGATGACGCGGTTCGCGGCCCAGAAGAAACCCGCGAGCGTCAGGATCAGCGTCGGGTCGATGCCGAGGTTGGAGCCGATCATTTGGTACAGGAGCATTAGGGAGCGGACGACGGGGTTGAACTGTCCGCCGAGCATGGGCAGCAGGCTCTCCATCATCTTGTTGTTGCCTGCTGCGTAGCCTCGTCCGCCCGTCATGTTCTCCGCCATGGCAGTTAGGTTGCCTTTGAAGAGGGTTGAAAAGTCCATCTTGCTTAGGTCTATCATGGCGATTGGGTGGCAATGGGATTGCTTGGGTTGACAAGATGGATTGCAGACGCCCTGCTTGTTTATATACGTTGACAGAGACTAACTAGGCGCCAGAGGCAGAAGTAGTAGAGTTGTGGATTCAAAGAGTGGACGTTGAAAGAGGCAACTCGAGTGAGCCGCGTATCTAGTTAGGCAATCGTCGTATTCGTGCCTAATCCAGACAGACACTGTACAACGAGAAAAGTCCTTTGCATAACAGAGCAACTAAGAGTACGCGCCACACTGTAGCCTTGCAGTCGACTCTGCAGAGTCTGACAGAGTCGGAATCCGAGACTGCGGAGGTAAGCAGAGTTGCCTGGAGTGGCGAATGAATTTCACGGCCTCTGCCATGTTGAACCAGACTACGACCAATTTGCGGCTCTGTGATTGACCCGATGCAATGGCTCTAAACAGGTGACTACAACAGAGACGTGAGGAGTGTGGGGGAGTGTACGTCGATGCGTCAACGTCATCAGTAGTTTGCTGTAAGCCTGCAACTACCGTAAGCATGTCATGCTCGGGATAAGAATCGATTGGTCTAGCCTAGCAGACGCAAGAGAGTCCACATTCGCGGCAGACAGTGGAAGAGAACCTGTGCTGCTGTACCAGTAATCAAGGTTGCATTTGCAGTTGGAGTGTCATGTCCGGGGTAGCCAACTTGCGAATCAACCAAGTCACATGTGACTCATAAGATCTAGATCTTCGCAAGACTGAGACACAGACATCCCAGCAACTACAGTGACTTTTCATCAGAGTTGGGATGGCAAACAATTCGGCTCCGAGGGGGGTGCAAGTTCAAGACCGAGTTGCATTGTCTTGAGTATCTCTCTGTTGACGCTAAAAGGGGGCGAAAGATACGAAGAGAAGTTGCAAGAGTCAACGTTGACAGGGTCCAGCACCCCCTGGGAACAACACTCGCGCAGTGGCGGGCTTGAGGCCGCCGCATTTCAAGGCCCGTGTGGCTAAGGGCGCTGGGCCGTTACTGGCCGTTACTGCATGCTTCTGCTAGTGGAGGCCTCAGGCAGATGCCGTCTTACCCGGGTCACGGTACCCACAACGGCCGGCACTGTCGGGTACGGTCCATTTTACTCGGCGCCGGTGGCTACTGCAGCCGGCCCGGACCCTGTTGACCTCCCGGCTGCCGAACGATGAAGCAAACTGGCACAATGAGGTTATATCATATGGCAAAATCGCAAATCTGACTATTCTTTCGCGGTAAATATTTCCATCAGCATGAGCAATGATCCGGACGCCTCCCAATGCCAAATCCAACAGGTTTTCTCAAGTCCCTAGTCACTCCTGTTCGCCCACTTCCATCAGCTTGATGCGCTCGATTTCTTTACACTGCACTCACCATGTTTCATTATACTCCCATCTACTTGAGATAACACTGCAGCGCGCATCTGTCGCCACCCCAGTTATTGCTAACATGCTTAAATTTGCCCCCCTCGTTCCTCCCAGCCCGTGCGCAGGGCATATCGCAGTCCGAGTCCTTATAGGGGTCGCTGCCGCCGTTGGCGTCGTTGCAGTTGTACCACGCCGCGACGCTGAGCTTCTCGTACTTGCACAGCGGGTCTTCGCTGATGAGCTCCATCGACTGGACGCCGACGACGCCAAGGGCGAAGAGGGCGGTGGTGAACTTCATGTTGACCCAGCGGGGGGAGAGAGGCGGGGAGATGTAGAGATAGAGTTGCTTAGGTTTTGGATGTATAGCAGTAACTTTTGAGTCTAATGTGTTAGTTCCTGTGAATCGACGCGTTTTTATATGAACTCATTGGGTTGCGGTTGCTCCCACTTCCCTCTGTCAACTCAACGCAGCCGTACTTGTGTAGATCACAACTAAGTCTATCAAACTTAAATAGAGTGACTACAGGATACTTGTATCCGCAGCTACTCATAAAATGTTCTCTACACCTGTACCTGATTATTTTTCGTATTGTGAAAGGGACCAGTCAAGGCAAAGAAGAGTACTCCGTAGTTGGTTGAAAGTACAACTGCTTCAAGGGGTAGGGCGCACGCGAGTCGTCCTTAATCTTCCGAGTGGAACTCTTTAAGACCTACACGGCCCTAAAGACCCTGAAAACGCCCCAAGAACGCATCCGAGGGCACGATACGCGTGTTCTACCATGGAAATTCACGAGTCATTGTGAGTGCTCGACTTCGTATTAGGTCCACTTCGCGAAGAACTACTTCAACGTCGATACGGGGGGGTACCAGAATGGGCATTTGCTCAAGGGGTGAACAGAGGTGACATGTTTGGCCTTGGATGACTGGAGATTTCCGGTCGTCAGAGCCGTCTCCGGCATCTGAACCACAATTGCTCGACGTCCGGCATGTCGAGCTTCTGGGGCTTTCCCAAGAAGTTCATTTAGCGACGACACTGATCTCCCCGTGCCACAAGAACGTGATGACAGTACGGCTTTTTCGCGGTAGACCTACTTTGTGCACCACCATGCGATCCGAGAACTACTACTGGACTCTGGGCGAGTACCAAAAGTGGCGGGGCTTCCTTTGTTCTACTGAGCTTCCAGGTGTAGAGACTACGGAAAAGACATCACTTCTAGTCTTTGGGGCTTTGGTAACATCTTGGGAGCTTGGACAACACGCTTCATGGCATCTGTCGATTTACCTCCTTGACCCGGACAGAGAGTCATCAGCTTCAGCTACTTTCGGCATTGCTACCAGGGCCTTCACCGCTCTACATTCACCTCGCAAATATCCTTTTGCTTGTTGTCACAGTGATATCCAGGCCTACCATGAGAGGCTTGCTCGAAAGCGATTCTTCTTCGCAGACAGGGAGGGGCGACTACCAAAAAAAAAAACATCTCTGTCCTAGGGTACTACCTCGTCCAACCTACGAGGTTCTCCTGCCTGGGTATTATGTTCGAATCTCATGAACTCGATCCGAATCAGGGCATTCTTTAACTCGCTATTCGCATTTCTTCCCTCCCGCCCGCTAAATGCTGTAGACTGGTTGCTGATGACCATGGTCTCCGAGCGGGCGCCAAGCCATCTACGGAGTTCATAAAAAAGAGCACAATCTGACCACCAAAGTCACACTCTTCACCAGCCATCGACCAAGCCGGGGAATTCAACGAAATTCGTGGAGTGCCGGAGCCGAACACACATCCTGGGATTGTCTTGCTTTCGCTGGAGTGTCCTGACATTGGTGTACAACACGCCAATCTGGTCTTCATTGCGCCGGGCGTGTTCTTGGAACCTCGCCTTCTGGAGTTCGATCTGACCTCTGAGTTACTTCTCATGCGAGTTGGATGCCTTCCGACAGACATCGGCGTCGCGGGCCTTGGTCTAGGACTTCGCAGATTAGCCACATAGCCAGGAGCGTATAACCGGCGTGGGCTAGTAGTCGAGATCAGCCTCATTTGCTCCCTCGACCGTCCACGAACTCTCATACTCTGCCAGGTATTCTATGGAGTATACGTCCTGACGGGAGGGTATGCAGTGGGAAAAAACTTTCTCTGCGTCCCAATCAGTGACACCCACGGTTGTTATCGTCTCGCCTGAGCACCTCGGCGGCGCCGCTTGGAAGGCCTATACATCACGCCTCAAGTCACACGCCCAAATTGAAGTGCGCGTCGTAGACGAAGCCCATGTATTCTTCGACTCGTAGACGGGCAGCGGCTTCTGCCCATGGATGCCGGAGCTAGGAGTGTTTACGGCTTGGAGTTGTCCGCGGCCAATCTTCATCACGGCCACCCTCCCCCCAGGGTGAAGATTTTCTCCAGGACTACCAAATCCCCCTAACCCGGTCACCGTGCGAAGCTACTGAACGTACGCCGGTCTACCATAAGACCGATCTGAAAAAGCGTCGTGACTTCAGAGATGCTTCGCTTGCCGCGATGCATACAAAGAAGACCGGTGGATTCATGGTTAGGGTTCTTCTGGAGCGACGTAAGATCACAAAAGATTTTTCTACTGCTAGCCGACGCTGTAGCAGGGTCAAGAATCCTCGTAGATCTCTCGCCTCCCCTCCTACCTAGAGAGAGAAGCTGGCAGCTCGAGCTCCTCTCAGCTCTTCCGCAAAGTTCGGGCACCATCGCAGATCTCTCTTTGGTCATTAAGAAAGATATAGCCAGCTCCACACTTGGAGACTTGCCAAACTGGTATGTCCTTCGTGGAGGGCATCCATATCAAGGAAGGTTTGATGACCGGGACGTTGGCATGTTGACCTCCTTTAATATACGACATGCTCTAACCTCGCATTCAACCTTGATGAGGTCGAGTAAGGCCGGTACGTCCTTCATATTGCCAGACACTTGCACTCTTGAAACTCGCGTGCTTCTTGCTCCAGTCCTGTGACATACCATGAATTGGTCATCACCACGAGTGAGTATCTTATCCTAGATCTAAGACGGAATGCCCTGTAGAGCCTTTGCCACTTCTTGATATAGTGAGAAAGAATCTCGAGACTAGAGGTCCGTGGCTGTACCTGATGAGGAATATACAGCGCCGCTGCCCCCTATATTTACGTCCGTGGATATGGGTTAAAAACCGCCTTTGTGATTGATTGATAATTGACGCCGGTGTTGAGTAGGCGTTGCAGAAGGGGTCGAACAAGATGTCAGCCCAATGTGGTGATGAGACGAAGCAACGAGATGAGAAAGTAGTCGGAATGAGGCTGGAGATGGTAAGACTAGTGATTATCAGTTGTATTTCCCTGGGCATCTCGAGGCCCCCCTTGTCCGCCTAGTATTCACTGGAGCATCAATGTCAAAGGGAGTCGGAGAGTGCGAAAGACAATCCTATACGTCTGCCAAGGAATCATCAAGTAGCCATATACTCATTTTACACCCAAAGGCAGGCAGGACCAAAAGAGGGACTGTCGGCTTTTCAGCAACACTTGGAAACTGGTATTAATGGTATACGTGGAGGGAGTCTGTATCTCTGAGAAGAAACCTTTTAGGTTTTTTTCAGTGCGGGCAGCCCCTCGAAGACGTGGTTTCTACCATGTTTTTGCGAGACAGACTCTCTGCAAATGCCATTCATCAAGGCTCTGTAAATTTCACCATCTAGTCTCAGAGACTCCTATTCAGCAGACGGACCTCGATTTCAAGTTGACCAGATCTCGTTTGTTGACTTGAAAAGCCAAATCAAAGCTGAAACCTACACACCGGCTATGAGGAGTTAGATGCTCAGGTACTCGCTGGCGAGGATATCTCTCGCTGTTCTTGCCCGGATTCGGGTACAGCAGTATGTCACCTTGATACACATTTTTTCATACGTAAGACCGCCTGTTGGGGTGTTCATATTCAATCAGGGCCATATCAACAACTACGAAGTTGTGTAATCTTGGACACGTTCAAGCTCGGCACGTGTGATACAACAACGAGCCGCTCACCACACTTGTTGAATGTGAAAGATGCCTCCATTCGAGGGGTTCATGGTTGACCTCCATACACTCGACAGGTCGAGCAACTCTTACAGCCGCGTCACAAGTAGACTCGGAGCAACGGCAATCGGACATCGCAGCTCCCCTGAAACACCGAACTCGTTGCCTTCTCTGATCTTCATCGATGCAAATGGCAACTCAGGCATTGACGGCTTCGTAGTCATCAACATAACACATCAGTATGCGAGAATGCCCCCTTACCGGACTGTCTTACACCAAAGCAAGTCTGCTCGATGCATCGCAGACAAACCATAGGTCCACCATGACGTGAAGTCCGCGCCGTGAAACTCTCTACGAATCCCACCGTGACCTGGTTGATCCAGACGGAGTGTCTATATCGACGAGCAAACAGTCGATGATGTCTCCCGATCGGCACCTTTCCATCCGTTATCTTTCACATACTTCGCATCGAGTTCCCCAAAAAGCAAGGCCCAGAAGACAAGAAACCTTCACCATGGCAATCCGGCTATTGCAACCTGAGCGAAGTATCACAAGGGCCAATTCAAGTCAGCACATCATCAGTCCATCCGAGTCAACCATCTCGTTTCCATCTTACAACTCCCGCAAGGATCAAATTCAGTCTTTGAGGTCTAGACCGGGTCTGGGTTGTTTCTTTTTCCACTGCTCCCCCTTTCTAAAAGAAGAAAGTAAAAATACTCCGAGGACAAACTTCTGCCATCCGATCCAAAAAGCAAACTTGACCCTTTTTTTTTTCTTTTTTCGCAATTTACAAACCAACAGTTTCAGGGACGAACTAGCCTAGTCTTCTTGATAAACCCCAACTATCCCAAAACTCAATGGAACTTCAATGACCCATTGATCCCCGTCAGGAAAATCCCCCAATCCAGCCTACATGAACACCCTCTGATCTTTCCATCAAACCCAAACGTCCGTCGATATTCTTATTCCGTTAGCCACACATCGTCAATCCAAGCCCCCGTGCCCACTCCAACCCGTCATCAAAAGAATGCTCCGAAAACCCACATCGTCGACCGTTGACCCAAAGACATTAATAACTCTCAAACATATTCCCCTTTTTTCGCTTCCACTTCTCTCGCCCTCCACCAAAAGACAAACCCCATTCCACACCCCCGGTATCACTCATACATGCCAACATCCGCCCCCTCCTGCAACATCGTGGGCTCCACATCCCGTCGATGAGCGTAACCACAGCAGGCCATCGAACCGAGCAACCACACGCAAAAAAAAACCTCAACCCATGATCCCAGTCCAGTCCGCTTCCCTAACCTCCCCATGATCCCTCATCCCCGCTAGACTCATTGCCGATGGGAGAGTAGAGACCTCCATCTACACAAGACTCCGTTTAATCTCCCCTACTCGTCGTCGTCGCTCAAACGAAACACGCCAACGCGTCAACTTACGTAGGCAAACTTGCGTGTTGGATTGTGTACTCCCGTACCCTCCCTCGGACAATGTGCACTCTCTTACTGATGTTCTCGAGACATGCTACTCACTGAGACAATTGGACATGAAAATCAAACTCGAGTCGGCCGCCGGGTCTTACACCAGCCTTTGAACGGAAGCTATCCCCATCAGAATAACGGCCGAAAGCGCCGTGAACCTCTACATCTCAAGTCCCCTTCAGATATACAGCATCCCGGCAGGATCATCCGTCCAAGCCAGCCGCGCGGCCAAGGATACTCTAGCAAAGCATTCACAATAGACGAACGCAAAAATGTACTCCGTAGCTTCTTACCATGCGCCACCAGACCGCTTGAACCACGAGGATGAGACTGGGAGCAGTCTTCTGCGTTAGAAAGTCAGACACGCGAGCCAAGACATGTCAATGGGCCCATTCACGACGGCAAAGGGACGCAATGCCCTCAAGGTCGCAATCTACATGCTTCATCAACGATCCCACAGCCTTTCCCACTGAACCCACCGCGATCATACCACATCATTTTGGGGAGAAGTGATGGAAAACCCTCCGGTTCCGCCGTCCCGGTCCTTGTTTCTGGGAAAGCCCACAGAGTCTGCAGTTGGACCGCAAGTTCATCTGTATAGACACCCATGAACCATGGCATCTCATCTCCCACCAGGGCTACAAGTACCAGACCCGACCATACTATGCGACATCTCATCTCCTCCGCATCTCGTCAATATCGCTCGGCAACGGCATTTGGGGATGTCAGAAAACCTTAGCAAACCCGGCTATCAATGTAGGGAGCAACGGCAAGGTAAGGACATGCAAGATTAAGCGCACCGAATACATTGATCGCCCGAGTCTATTCCTCCCTAATGTCCCCCTCTGTTGCCTCGAATGCGGATCCCCAACGCTACGGATCAATATCGAAATCTGCAAGGAAAGCTAGATAAACTGTAAAGACATATAGATAAGCGAACTTTTTGGTGGTAATCAGAAGTTCAGACACTTCTGTAGTAGCATTGCTGAGCCACCTCGGCTTGCTCAATTCACATGTGCGTTTCCTCAAGCTACGCCATATACCACACATGGAAAGCCCCAGTCTCTAGACGACGAGGATAGACGGGTGTGTATCGATCTGGGCAGAATCCAATCTCTATCTCGGACCATGAGGGAGTGGTGACTCCATCTAGCATCTTCCAACTAAAAAATCAAAATGTACCAAGAGCCATGCGTTCAACGGCCTCCCACGCGAGCTCATGGAGCACCATGATCCATTACCTGTGTCCTCCGTCCCCGACATGATCCCCAACCGCATCAGACATCATGTCACGTCCTTCCCAGCAAACTTCGCCAAAAGCATGGGAAACCTCGCCTTCGAAGGTTGCCCATGATCTCCACTTTGGAACGACGCACCCCCCAAGCTCCATGCACCAACGGGGGAAACGGTCACTCTCCCTCCCCGAGCATCAACCACAACTTCGCCGAGACCACTCGAGTCAAAACGTCAGACAGAAACAGAAAACGACCCCACGAGAAGCAGACTGGACTTTGCCAATTACACAGTCCAACGGGGACAAATTCCCTCTCACAATCTTCAAGAACGAACCGTCCACGGCATCCAAAACAATCCCCCTCCGTTCCCACATATTTCCAAAATACCCACACAAGCTCTCCATTGCTCCACAATGTATCCCCATACCGGTGAACATGCCCCCTAGCCGACATCTCACACACACACATACACTACCCGTATGAAGTACTTCGTACACTATCCCACTCTGTCTCTGCGTCTCTTACTTCCGTGCCTTCTTCCAGCCTGCGTGCCTATGTATCCATCTCTCGGCCGTTGGGTGACTCGACGGGGCCTCTCTCTCTCTCTCTCTCTCTCTCTCTCTCTCTTACAATGTCCAACCTAGATGGCGCCATCAACCGCCTGATCGTCCAACCCGTGCCTCATCTCTATCCGTCTCGCGGCCGCTGCCCTTTGCCTGTCATATTCTCTCCCCCTCGTTTGTGATCTCACGCCTGTCTGACTCGAAAAGAATACCTACACGCCACGTAGACACAAGGTTGATCCCAAGATAGACAGGACTAACACGCGCGTAACGGCTGGCTCAGGTCACAAAAAAGGCTCACATCATCAACCCGTAAATCCTAGTGCCACCCGCTGATCCTCTGACGCCCGTTGACAGACAACGCAAAAGTCGCAACTTGATATCCGAAATCCAAAAGCCTCACTCACTGGCCCCTAGACTCAAGGAATGAGCAACTACAGCCGCCCTGCAAGCATCTACCAGCAACCGAACACAAGTTTCTCCCAGTCTCATGGCCTTTTCCCCAGGATGCTCGGCAAACATCCGGGCTATCAATACCCTTCCCCAGTCATCGTCGTCAAAGACCATCACCATCCCACACACAACATATCTACACACCCTCCTTTATGCCAGGCAGATCCAGACAACCCACACTCCAAAGAACAAACATTGATACCATTCCCGATAAGGCAGCACTTGGAGATATCAAAATAGCTTCAAGCATCAACCCACGCAAATGGCGACAAACAGTATCACATACATCAGTGACATTCGTGACTTTCAAGATACTTCTTCCACTTTATCTACATTCACGATACATCCCGCGTTAGAACCGCACCTCCCAGCAGCTCAAGCCAACAAAACTCCCGAGCTCCGAGCTACGCTCAATCTTCTTCCTACTGCTACCTCACCCGCATTACCTCTGACCTTGCCTTGACTTCACCTCACATGAACCTCGCATCACTCTTTGCCCAAGGAGAGCAAAAGGGCAATCATATTCCGTTCCGGGACGTCGCCCAAAGAGCCGGCAAGACACTCGAACCCCTTCATGCTTTGATATCAAACCATCAGAACTTCCGCCCGTGGCCCTGACCTGGACTCTGCATCTGCATCTGTACCCGTACCACCTCACCCCCCCTTCCCTTCTTTCCCTCCGCAATAACGCCGCCGCCGCCCTATTCCCACGTGAATCCCGGCACGAAGCATCTGTAGAACACCGGGCTATCCGTGCGCCCATAAGCAGTGGACCGGGGGGGGGGGGGGGGGGGGGGGGGGGTGCTCCTCTCTTGCGTTGTACGTAAACGTGCCGGCGAGGCGGCGGCGAACGGGGTGCGGTCGACGGACGAGGGTCCGGAAAGAGAGGTTCACCCAATCCATGTGCCGAGCATACACAGTACTCCGTAGTGTAGGTAGAAGAGCGGCCCCCGCCAGCCTCTCTCCCAACCCATGTCATCAAACCCCTGTCCGACCTGTCCAGAAAACCCATGCCAACGGTCCCAAGGGCCCCCAGACGGCCCCGACGCCACTCTCTCTTTTTCAAGGTGAGCAGTTAGGTGTAACGCTCTCACCGACATATCCCTCACCTGTCGTCCAACGTCGACTCATATCGAAGCTTACTCTTCCTCCTCTTTCCATCGCCTGCTGTCAACCATCCCCAAAAAGGAGTTGTCATCCTGCCTCGATTAGACGCGTCCGCGCGCCGCTCCTCGGCAAGTCTTGCCAAACGGCTGCCTCTCCAGTACATACCCCCCATAGCAGTCTATTGGCACCATCACCACGCCCCCCTGCTCGATAACGGCGCTGTGTAACCGTTGCTACAACAAAAGCTGACGAAAGCACTACTGTGTAGGGGAACCGTTCGCTAAAGAAGGACCAGCCCGCAGAACCCTCGTCGCCCCTTGCTCATGACCCCCCGGCCTGCATCTACCCTCCATCAGGAAAGCTCTCCAAGCTGGGTGGTCTTTTTCTGTGGCTTTGCCCTCACCCAAAGCTTCCCGCGGCCACTGGTCCGGCTGCCTCCCCTTTTTCTCATCAGCACGTATTATTCCCTAAATGGTTTCTTGCGTATCCCGTCACTTCGTTATCTTTAGTGCTTTCTCTTCCCGTTGACAAATGTCCGTGCCTTGCTGCGACCTACCGTTATTACTCCCGCCGTGTAATCAGGCAAGCTCACCACGCGGCACGTGTCGTTGAAGAAAGAAGTAGCACTAGGGAAGAAGGGAGGGGAGGGAGGGATGCTCCGCGCTCCGCACCGCCGGGCCTCGATGCGACTCTCACATCAGAAGTGAGGCTCTGCATGAGTAGGAATGCAGTGCATGCCTGCCCTGCTGCTCCGCTCCCCGATGGACTTTGCAATGAACCTGTTCGGCAGGATCCCATCCCGCTCCTTTTTGTCCTGCCAATGACCATGCTCACGTGAACAATGCCATCCATCATCGCCAGGGGGGGTGCTTTTTGTCGATGAGGTGGCTGGGGCCTTGGAAGGGGGCCGGAAGTTTCCCAATGATGGCTAACATGCCCTCTCCAAAAGGAGATAGGGGCACCAACATCCAGGCGGTTGGTGTCGATCGAGACCACCGCGCGATCCCGGTACCCGATGTACATGGCCCCTGAGAGGGGAAAACCCCCGATGTCGAGCAGGAGAGTCCCGCCGCCCATCGTGTAGTCTTGCCGGGAGGCGCCATGTCGAATGGTTCCTCTATTCCCGGCAGCTGTTGCGGGTGGCACTTCCGCTGCCTTTCGCCGTTCCGCCTACGCTTTTGGGGTTGGTCAAAACCAATGGCCCACGAAATGGTCCGCCATGGGCGATCGCAGTCGTGTAACGATCAAACGGCCTTTTCAGCAGTTTGAGTGCAACGCTGCCAACAGCAAATGGTACCGAAGCCCGCCCTTCTCTCTCTGCTACTGACCTGGCGTCCAACGAGTGTCAGATCCGACCTGTCTCAAAAGAACAACACGCATCAGGGAAAAAGAAAAGACCTCGAAACCAGAGACAATAAGAAAACAAAGCGACGGATCAGCTCTCACCCGTTTGTGACGTGGCAGTCCGCACCCCGACGCCTTTCTTGATGAACCATGAGCATTATCAGCAGGCTGTCTCGACAAGTACCTGATACTCGAGCATGCCAGATGTAGACCGCCGCAGATTCCATTCCCCATACGTCGCTGCCTGCTCAAGCGACTCTCACTCACCTGGTCAGGATGAGCAAAAGGGAAAAGCTGCATAGTCCGTTCCATCTTTTGATGACTTCGCCTGGGCTACCAAAAAAGGTGTCGAAAACACAGGATTAGCATATGACAGCTCATAAACACCATCCACGAGGGGGCCAAATTCCCCCCATCCTTGCTGACATGCGTGAGGCAGACAAGATGCGATATGCTGTGTAGCTGGATCAGCCAATTCGGTTCTGAGGAGGGATGGGGTCCCTGCTTTCGGCTCGAAGCCACCTAGGCTGAAAGTGAAGGCATCCTCAGGTGACTAGGCACATTGGCTCAGGAGAACATCGTCTCGAGGCCACTCCGCAATCACTTTTCGTCAACACGAGACGCGGGGGCCATGCGGGTTGGTGGCTCCAGGAGCGGTGGTTTGAGCTGACAGCTCAGGTCGTACAAGCATGAGGAAAGCAACGCGTGATTCGGTGAAGAGTGCGGATTGTCGTCCGCCTCACCGACGTGCACTGAAACCTGCCCTCTAACCCCCCTGGTCTTTTGGTTAGTAGTAAAGACGGCCAGGGCACGGCAATAGCGCAGGCTAGAATGAGATTAATAGCGTAATCAGCAAAAGGGGATCCCGTGACGCTGGTGTACATCTGCAGGCTGCACGAAGTGAAGAAAGCAGTAAGGCGGAGGATTGCCAGACAGGGTAGGAGGGAACGTCGGTGAGCCGGCGGCGTGAGAGAGGCGTAGCAAACAGCTTTTCGCTGCAGATGCCCGCCGTGCTGGATACCAAGCTTGGGTGGCTTCTCGCTGCAGACACGGCGCAAGGTGGCATCTCCATGCAAGCAGCCGTTGCATCGTAGAAACAACACCTGAGCCACCATGAGACGCGTTCCGCAGCGGACCAGGCAATAAGTCGTGATCATCAGCGACCGCATCGGGACAGCTGCACATTCCAAGAC